TACACGTGCCTCAGACCAAAACAGTCTTTCAGCTGCTAGTGACTTCATAAGCGCATGGAGCACAGCTGATCCCAAATATGCTTTTTGTCTTTGAACACCATAACAGTATCACGTCTACTGAGGACACATCAGAAAATGAATGAAAATTTATTAATAATCCACTGGTGGCATCCATCTAAACACCAACATTTAATGAGAGTTAAAACAGGATAGGTAGGAAAAGAGAGTATTAAAAAATATAGTTACAATTAACTGGTTCTGTTTATCTTGATGGGTTTTTTTATAGTAGTAGGATGTTAGTCACATTATTTGTAAATCAAGTGCAATGCAAGAAAACATGACACTATTAATAAGGCAGAAATGTGACAGTCAGCACATGAGTCAGGTAGCTGTCTTTTACAATCCTCGGCCACTGTCAAAAGTTCCATTGTTTGAGAGGGTTCATCAACAAAGGGTTCTTCTGCAAAGCACTTTTATCAGGGAACGATGAGTACATTTAGCCAACTTTGAAATCATGAAAATTTATTCTTACTAGTACATACAGTTCACAGGAATTCATACAGTAGTAGCAGAAAAACAGTACTCTGCTGCTTTTAAGCCAGACACATGGACCTGTCAGTTTCAAAGTAAAAAAAAAACTTTCACAAACAATTCAAAGTGCTATCATTTAAAGGCCCGAGGCAAGGTTATACTTCTACTGTTCCAAAATATCTAAGAGATTGGAAAAGAAATACACATTTGCGCTGACAGTTACCCTCCCATTTCAAAAACTGCGTATAGCATTCAAGGGAACAAAAAGCAAAATATCCTTTCACTCAGAGCAAGACAAAAGAAGATTGGCTACATGGAGTTATAATTCAAGAGAAGTTCCAACACTAATGTAGGAATTCCTATTTGAAAAGCATTTGTTCTTCTGTAGGCTTATATTCACAGGCAAAGAAGCCTGTAACCTCTCTGTAAAGCTAAAGACAGAAAATGAAAAATAGGTTAAGAACTCTGCCTGTGGCCACAAGATCCCAAACAAAACAAACACAAAAAGCCCCACACATTGCAGGCACTGGAGCTCTTGGTAAAAGGGAAAAAAGGGGGAGAGGAAGGGTCATCTGGAAACCTTTTTCAGAGATTAAGAGGCAGTTTCTTGAGAGGGGACAGATACTTTACTTGTCAGCCAACAGAGAAAAGGAGCCAGTGAGTACTAGGCACATGAGAATACACAGTTGTTTTAAACCAGCATGATAATGTGTTTTCAGATCCTGTCTAAAAGGACTGAAACATTAATCCTGAGCTACAGAGACAACACCTAGATAAGAACTGAGCTTCTAATTTATTTTGTCGTGAAAGATGGGATAGAAGGCCTAAGGTGTAATTACAATTAAATTAATATTTTCTTACAACAACTTCTAAGCAGGTTTCTCTTTACCCTTCCTCTTTTCTATCTAGCAATAAGCTTCAAAGTGTTTTGATTTTAAGGCCAGCTCTCTGAGGATGAGGGTGAGGAAGGGAAAAAGCAGGGTGCAGGATAGAAGGGGACTTCTTAAAGAAGATGACTGCAGCAATTTCCACCACTGCCATGTCTGAAACAGAGGTGTGCACAGATGGCAGTGGGTTTCCCCCTTCAGTATTTACTGCAGCACAGAGACCCATTAAGCTTTTGTAGCACCTTACAGTAATCCAGAGAAAAAGTGACCTGGCATAATCCAAAAGCTACAACACAGTGCCACAATGCTCATCCTTCTGCAATGACAGAGCCAGAGAATCTATCACTGACAGTGTCCCCCCAGTGAAGTCACAGTCATGAAAAATGCACCGACACAAGAGCTGAAGCATGCTTTGGGCCACGTTCCCAGCAGGGGTGATGGGTCAGGCTAGGTTCAGCAGAGCTACAGACTGGTTCAGACCCGCAGAAATCCGATCATCCACAAACCACACAGGCCTACTGGACAATAAAAAGAGGAATACCGCCTGCAGGTTTTGGCCCGATGGTATAAGAAAGATGCTGAAAACTGGAATAAGTTCAGCCATCAAGATGCTCCCTCCTTCTCCTCCCCCCCCCACCCCTTCCAACACATAGATACATACACACACTCTTTGTTTTTAACAACCCTCTAGCACACATCAAGAACCTTGTAACTTAAGGATACTTAGGGGTTTCCAGAGAAGCATCTTACCCAGCACAGTACTTAGTGCTGACAAACTCTCCCTTTTCAATAATCAAGGGCAAAAACTGACTTTCAAGAATTTGTTTTTGGAGAAAATGAAAGAAATTGAGAAAATCCAGAAAAATCAGATTTCACAGGAGCCATTTCTGAATTGCGACTAATGCAAGACACCAACAGGATGCTGGTTTATCCTTAAGGAACCACCTGGTTATCATAAGAGAGGCAGGGATATCAAAACCCCAGCATCTGCAAACAATCTCCCATCCAACACCCCACAACCATTTTTTCCCAGAGCTCCTTCGGATCAAACTCAATCTTCAGAGGAGAAAAGCTGTTTCACACCGTTGTGTAAAAGCAGCACTCTCTCACACTCAGCTCCTCTGCTAAAAGGGATTCCACCTGCCCACGGACTGCCACTTCCCCAGCCTTTGAAAAGCCACCAAGAATCCCTTGATCCCCGGCCAGCAGCATGCCCTGGCGCAGAGGCTGAGCTGCACCCACCTCCGCTCACCTGGCAGCCTGTGCTCTCAGGCGATAGCTGCAAAATCATGAGTTCTCAGACTCAACTTTCAAGTTCTCAGGCAAGCCCAGACAGGCCTCATACTTACAAAACACAAGCAACTAAGTGTTTAAAAGGTTGACTACACAGGGCTACCAAAAGTAGCATTACTGAACCTTTTCGTTTCCCCAGCCTCAGATAGTCCAAGCAAACAAAAAATCTCAATGCTCTGTATTTCTGTATGATTACAGCACAGAAACACAGTGATCCACAGGGACAAGGCTGCCAGCATCACAACCCACCCTACAAGAGCATCGTGTTTCTGTAAGAGGTATAAGGTTTTTACACAGCACCTAGCCAGGTACCATTGGCCAAGACCTTTTAACTGGACCTCCTTCAGATCACTGAAGAGTAACTCCGTGAGAGGGAGCCGAGGAGCTTTACAGGCAAAATAAAACTATCTTGCAACATCAGCACTGACAGCCTGCTACATCAACAGCCAGGCTGTTATTGTGCCCAAGTCACGCTAACACTAAAATTCACCAGCACCAGGAAATTCAGCAGCACGGCTTCCACTGACACACTCTGCAGGTTCACAGATCATTGCTGGGTGTAGGCCCTCAACAGGGTATTTTGAATGTAGCTTCTATTTTAAGTTCTTCCAATGCAGTGGAGTTCTCCATACTAATTTCTGGACCATCAGCAGTGACAATGCTGAACTACAGAAGGCCTTTAGTCCCACCCATGCAAGTTTATTTTCCTTCCCTCCAAAAATCCGCAATCATTCCCAGGCTTACAATCTCCCGATACATCATTCTGTGTCTATAGAACCAGGCAGGATTCACTTACAGAATTCCTGCAGCTGTAAGGGAAGCTATGAATTTGTTATTATAAGGTTGCTTTTTAATTGTTAATAGAACAAACTTAAGCTATGGCAATATTGAAGTAGAAGAGAGAGGATGAACTTAAAAAATCTCATATGTGGTCAAGGCTTTAGTTTAACACTCACAGAATGTAAGGGGTATAATTCAAAAGACAGGATCTGGAGCATTTGGGAGCCACAAGGAATGTTGTGGGTGGGTTACATCTCAGAACCAGTACAAGCTGAACCAACACTTTCCAGCTATGGAAGAAGAATGAAACTGTCTAGGCCAGTTGAGCCCTTTCAGTTGGCAACAGCAGGTTAGGAAATAAGGGCCTGAACCCACATTTCAGGTGCCATGTTTAGAAATAATGATTGGAGGCTCCCTTGGATAAAAGGTACTTCTCCCACTGAAGCCATCTCTGCTCTATGCGTTGCTCAAGGCCATTTGATCTGAACACCAATTTTAACAGCAAAAATGGACAAAAATGAGCAGCACCAAGCAGAGGGTCCCAAAGACATCACCTCCAACACCATCTCAGCAGGTGATCAGGGACTCCGGGAAAGGTTATCCATACTCTTTTCAACTTATGCATTACTTAAACATTGCCTGTTACATGCGTATAAAACAGGGGCTTTCGGGGAGATTTTACAGTTTTGCTCAAATGCTATTTATTTTTGCCCTCAGAGGCACGATTTTGATGCGCCGGTTCAACCGAGAGCGACCAAAGCCTCCTGAGGAGAGCTGAGCACGACCAGCGTCAGGCAGAGCCACCCGACACCATCCCTGGCGGCGGCCAGCCCCGCCGATCCCGGCTCCTTCCCCAGCCCCGCCAGCGTGCACAAGCGGACGCCGGTGCCGGCATCCCGGCACAGCCGCCGCAGGACCGGGAGGCTTCCCGCAGGTCTCCCTCCGGCTCCTGCGGCTCGCACCTACGGCAGCGCCGGCGGGGAGACCCGGCCCCTCTCCCTCCCGCTCCTCTCCGCAGAACGCGTCGGGGCGCCCATCCCGCCTACCGGGAGCCGGTCGGAGCACCGGGGCTGAAACGCCCCGGGGCGGGGCGGGAGCGGCACCGCCGCCGCGCCTCCCGGTGCCCCCGGGCCGAGCCCCGGCCCGCCCGCCAGGCGAGGCCGGCGGCGCTTCCCGAGCCGCCCCGCAAAGTTACCGCCGGAGTCCCCGCGGCGGAACAAAAGGCGGAGCGGGAGCGGCGGGCGCCGCGCCGGGGCGGGCGGGGAGGGTCGCGCCGCCGCCTCGGCCGGGCAGGGGCGGCTCGCCGGGAGCTGCGCCCGGAGCGCTGATCCCGCCTCTCCGCAGCCGCCGCCAGCCCGTCCCGCTTGCGGGCTGAGCCTGGGACTCGGCTCCGGCCGCACCGGGCGGGGAGGAGAGACACGGGGGAAGGGGGCGGGGGGCTCCATTCATTTTCGGGAGCACCACCGGGCAGGAGCGCTCCCGGCCGAGGCCGCGCCGCGGTCTGCTCACCTTACTCTTCACTTCCACCGCGCTGCACTCCAGATACCGCAGAGTCTGAGATTTGTTGAAACTCCGGTTCATCTTCCCGGCGCCGCTGCCTCCCCTTCCCGCGCCGCCGCCGCCTCCCGCGCGCCCCCGGGCCGCCCGCACGAGCCGCCGGCCCCGCTCGCGCCGCGCGCTCCGCTCCCGCGGCCACTTTGTTCCCGGCGCGCGCGCGCCAACGGCAGCGGCGGCGGCGGCCGCAGCGATCCGCGCGGGGCTCGCGCTCCGGCTGGGCCGGCGGCGGGCGGGCGCCTCGGGCCGGCGGGACACGCCCCCGACAGCCCCGGACACGCCCCCGACAGCCCCGGCCTCGGCACGGGCACGCCCCCGCTCGGCCCGGGCACGCCCCTCCTCGGTGGCCGCGGGGCTCCGGCGCGGCGGGAGTTGCTGCGGGAAGCGGCGTCCCGGGCGGCCGGCGGGCCCCGCTGCCGCGGCCGCGCACCGAGCACGAAGCGCAGCCGCGCCCCGGGTGCCCCCCGGCGCTCGGAGGTGCCCGTTGTGCGGCACAAAAGAGACCCGCACCAACTTCTCCAGACGGCGCTGATTGTTCTTGAAAGAGGGTTGGGATCTGGAAAGTGCTGCGAGTCATTAATTTGAGACCACAGATCACCAGGTTTGGGAGGGGAGTTTCCACCACGCCCTCCTTGAAAAAAAACGGTGGATTGCCTCCCTCTGCTAGCAGCTCTCACTAATTAGGTAGGTTATTAATTTGAGAATCTCGAAGGAACTTAACTTCTTTACGTCTTCTGCCAAGGATCTTTTTAATTTTAACAGGCCTTTTTCCTTCAGTCAGCATCTTTTAGTCACTGGGAGCCTTTGAAAGTGGTATTTTTTTTCCTACACAATCCTGCCCAAAACATCAAGTCGTGATGTACAGAAGCTCAGGACACAGCACAGACCTGTGCAACCAGTTTTCTGCTGCTCGACATCTCCTAGGATCGTCTGCCGGTCTAAGCAAGGAGCACAAAGTCCTAACAGACAAAAGCCACCCATCTCTTCTCCAGGTGTCAATGGCAGTGATGGGAATAACCACGAATTCAGGGGCAAAAAAACAAGAACTGAGTTGACTTTTCATGTGACTCCAAGTAGGACGATCAAAGCAAATGACCCAAATACAAACCAGCTCCATCTTATTGGAAAATAGACCTGAAATGAACATTTGCCACATGTTCTGGGCTTGCACCGTGTTTGGAAGTCTTGCTGTAAGTTAAACTGTATAAATAAAGTCTAGAGAGCTGAGAAAGGAAATGTTTGTATGAACTTGATCTTTCTTCTTTTCATCTTAGCACGAGCAATGTAGCAGCTTTGCTTTCCTGCTGTGATGGCCAAGGCCAGGCTGTGGAGATACAGCATCCCTGGGGTGCGCAGAGGCTGAACAGCCCTTTCAGGATGTTTCAATGTAAAGATGGATCTTGAAATCCAGCAGCTGGATCTGTATGATTTAGTGCTTCAGCATCTGGAGCAACAAGGCCAGTGCACTGGCATCAAGTTAATCAGTAGCTGGAGGACTGGTCTTCAGTCCAGTTTTTTGAAATTTTTTTTCAATTTCTTTGGTCAATTTTGGGGGGTTTTTTGTGGGTTTGGTTTTGGTTTCATTTTTGGTTTTTTTAAGAAACAAAGCTCCCAATAGACAGAAACCAGCAAGCAATTTTAGTCTTAATTTTAAATTCGGTACTTGTATTTGTGATGCCCATTTGAGTACACATTAAACTTGCTTGACTTTTATTTTATGCTTACTTCAGGGAGCACAAATGTTTCATTACCATCTCTTTTATATTAATAAAGACTCTTCAAACTAATAATGCCTACTGATTTGTGTGTAACCAGAGTGAGAATTCAATTAAAATTAATTTTAAAAAAATATATATCTTTGGGTGAGATAAAAGCTGGTAACCCATACTGAATTGATAGAGAATGAAGATACATGTTTCAAAGCACAAAACAGGTTTATTTACCAGCAGAGCTGAAGGGATTTCCACTCTCTCTTCCCCAGTCACTGCAGATCCTGTTTGTATTTCCACCACCACATGAATAGACAACCCTCTTCTTCTCATCTACCCTGTCTTTGAAGCTAACAGGTATATTGAGGACAAGAATTACTTTACTTGAGGAGTGGAGCTAATATATTTTCTGTTTCTTCTATCCTACAATAATTCAGAAATGGTAGATTACTACTTGTCCTTTTTAATTTTTTGATTCACCTGTAAGAAAAGCTGCTTTTTGGCTGTTCCATTCCTTCCCAAATTTTCAACATTGCATTAAACTCTTATTATAGAAACAAGATGAATACACTAATATGAGGAAATATGGTTTTTATATCACCAAAGGGGCTACTGCTAGCAAGGATTCCTTTCAAATTACTTCAAATAAATCTGATTTCTGCTGTTTTTTCTCAATCTGAGTTAAATATCTATCCTTTTGTAGGTCAGTGTAGACACCTTTAACCCACTCTGATCTGAGAAATGAACAGTTTCTGCATAGCTTATTAATTAGGCAAAAATTGGGGGTAATGTATGAAAAAATGGCTGTATTCTATTGTTAGTGGAAAAATAGAATGTTACATAAGTATTTATAAATTATGTATGATTTGTTGATATTATTTCTTAGTAGAATTTAATAATTTATTAAAAGTGAACGCTTCTCAATCAAGCTTCCCTGAAATCCAACGTGGTCCATTCTTGTAAATTCTTTAAGATACGCTTCCCTTTCGCTATTTCCAAATTAGTTGCAGCTTTAGTCCATTTCCTCCAGAGCAGAGCTGGGACATGACTGGGACAGCTTGAGAAAATTCCTTTTTCCCTTGCCTCCCCTTTCCATGCCCGTGCTGTGCTGTACGCGTGCCGGCAGGACCCAAGGCAGCGGGGCTGCTCCCAGGCCACCCCAGCCTGGGCTGCACGAGGTGCAGCAGCCCCTGCCAGCTGTTTTCCTCCTCACACTCAGTCACAAAGATGGTTTTCATTTAACTGCTTTTGCTCAGCCACCTTTCAGGGGTTTTGTTTTTGGTTTCTTGGTGTTTTTTTTTTCTCATCGCTTGCCAAGGGCACAGCATTCCTTTGACAATTTCTATAAATCTTCATCTGTTTTAGTAATCTGTGGTTATTTTACCCTGTTTCTGACCTGCAGAGCTTTTAAATCACCGTTCCTTCCCACGTGCCCATCTCTCAGCCCTTTCTTGCAGCCATGTTCCCAGATGCATGTGGAATGTGGGGGGCACATTTGCTGTCACCCAGCCCTTTCCTGCACACAGCACTTCACAAATACTCTTATTTCTTGCCCTAAACTGGGCAGTGAAGTCACAGTGTAGGGATCCTAGCAGGCCATTAAAAAAAATATTCAGATTCTCCTGTTTTCACTGCTTTTCGTTTACCAGACCAACAAAAAGTGCTGCAACATGTGCCAGACTCACATTCCTGCAATGCTGGTTTTCAGCTTGCAAGGGGCTTCCCTCTCACTGCTGTGTACCTCATCAGTATTAACAAGTCATCTACATGCTCTGAGAGGGAAAAAATACCCCAGACTCATATCCAAAGAATTATTTTTCTAACTCTACACCCTGCATTGATCTTGCAAGAGTTACAAATAGCACATCTGAAGGGCTTGGGGAAACTGCTGAAACGACAGACTGGTTTTGGTTTCTTTAAATGTAAACCAAAATGAAGCATAGCACAGAGAAGGGAAGAGGGAGGATGACAGCTATTGTTTTGCTTGTAGCAAGCAATGTTCCTGCCAGGGTGAAGATGGTGTCTACTTCATCAAATGCAGAGTACAATGCCAGGGAACATCCAGTGCCCTGGTGCAGGAACTACCTAGAGGGGAACAAGAAAAATAATGCCACCAGCCACAATAGTAATGGATGCTCCAGGACCAGAGACCGGCTGCTCCAATGTTTTTCCCTTGTTTCATCTCTTGTGGCAGTGAAATATCTTATTTTCTTTCCTTTTAAGAGCTTTTGCCTTCAGGCCTACAAGAGATGTATGTGCATTTAAGAGGAGAAAGAGCAGAGAGAGGGGAGGGTTGTTTTCAAGGCATGCGGAACCTGATGCTCCTTTTCTACCAAGGATGATGAAGCATTTGAGGAAACCTCTTATGTGACTTTATTACAAAACACTTGAAGAAGGGAGACCAGAGCAGTAGTTGAGGGAATGGCACCTGCAGAGCTCAAAATCAAGCATGAGGATGAGCACTTACCTTTGCAGCTCCCAGTATTTATCCAGAGAGATGTGCCGGGGGGAGCGGATGGAGGTCCCCAAGCTGTCTGTGCACAGGTACTCTGGCTTCAGCAGATTAAACCAACATGCTGTTCTTTCACCTGAAAATTTTCCCACTATTTCCCATGTTATATAACCAGATATGCTTTGACATGTATCAGTGTACCAGAATCCCAGCAGCCAAACTCTGAGCATCACAAGAGAAGAAGTAGGGTGGATTATGAGATCATGTGTCCCTTTTCCAAATTACACCACAACTGGGATTAAAAGCAGCAGTGCTTTACAAGGATGGGAAAGGTGAGTTTTGTTGCCAGGGATGAGTTTAGGATTGGAAGGAGGGAAGAGAGAGGATCATGCTCCTTATTCTGCATCCAAAGTATGCTTTAACTACATAACTCACCAGGATTCGACATTTCCCATGAAATACAAAAATATTCAAACTTTATTTTTTCTGTACATGAATTTGCTGCATTTAATGATTTTTAGCACCCTTTCAATTGCTTTGATTCATGGGTTTCTGTTCTTTACCAATGAGAAAAACAGGAAAAGCAATAATGTTTCCCAGATGTCATTCATTACAGCAGAGAAATAGATACCATCCCCTCAGAGTGTCCAGAAATAGGTCCTTCTACTTCCATGTAGGTTAAAGACTTTGTTTACAATGTGCTGCACTGCAGATAGCAGCTATTCATGATGTTAGAATGATTACTGCAAATACTTTTAAAATATTATTGATTTAAAGGAAGTACTGCTGATCACAGGCCTAGGGTGTGCAAGCATCTGCCTGGTTTTCTTCTACCTTTGTTGCTGATCCTACTTCTACAGGAGACTGAAGCACAGCTGGAAGTTGGCAAGTGCAGCATACATCTTCTAATTTGTCCAATGCTATC